CTAAGATTATTTTAATCAGGAGCTATCTGGACTTTCTACCTTATGAGCTAATCTGCCTCCACCCCATCCTTAAATTCTTGGCAGTGTGATCTTTCTAAAATGCAAATGATGTTACTAGATGTGTTAAAATCCTTTCGTTGCTTTCCACTGTCTACATAAGTGGTTTTACCACAGTGTTCATAGGTCCAAGCTGAAGTGAGGAAAAACATATGTAATGGACCAAGTTTTTCTCATTTTCTTAACTTAAAAGCTGGGTGAATCAAGTAATGGCAACATTAATCAAAGTGAAAAATATGGAAACATGAGTGGGAGGTACAGTAAGTTTTGTTTTAGGTGTATGCTGAGTGTCATATGCCTGTAGAGTGAGCAAGAGATGTCTTGAGAGCAGTTGGATATGTGAATTTGAAACTCAAAAGATAGTTTTGGGAAATGGATTCAAAAGATAGTTTTGGGAAAGGGATCTATTATTTGGAAGTCATGAGCATTTAGTTGGAATCAGGGTTGCAAATAACATCTTTTGAGGAAATGTAGAAAGTGTAAAGAAACAATGGTAAAATAAATCGACATTTAAAAAACCAGCAGAAGATGGGAATGTAAATTAGTTCAACCATTGTGGAAAGCAGTATGGAGGTTCCTCAAAATGTTCAAAATAGACATACCATTTGACCCAGGAATTCCACTTCTAGGAGTTTACCCTAAGAATGCAGCAGCCCAGTTTGAAAAAGACAGATGTACCCCTATGTTTATTGCAGCACTATTTGCAATAGCCAAGAATTGGAAGCAACCTAAGTGTCCATCAGTAGATGAATGGATAAAGAAGATGTGGTACATATACACAATGGAATATTACTCAGCCATAAGAAGGAAACAAATCCTACCATTTGCAACAACATGGATGGAGCTAGAGGGTATTATGCTCAGTGAAATAAGCCAGGCAGAGAAAGACAAGTAAAAATGATTTCACTCATCTGTGGAGTATAAGAAGAAAGAAAAACTGAAGGAACAAAACAGCAGCAGAATTATAGAACCCAAGAATGGACTAACAGTTACCAAAGAGAAAGGGACTGGGGAGAATGGGAGGGATGGGACGGATAAGGGCAGGGAAGAAGAAAGGGGGTATTACGATTAGCATGTATAATGTTGGTGGGGGGTGCACAGGGGGAGGGCTGTGCAACACAGAGAAGACAAGTAGTGATTCTACAACATCTTACTATGCTGATGGACAGTGACTGTAATGGGGTATATGGGGGGGACTTGGTGAAGGGAGAACCCTAGTAAACATAATGTTCTTCATGTAATTGTAGATTAATAATAACAAAATAAAATAAAAAGTTTTAAAAACCAGCAGAAGAACAGCCATAGGAGTAAAAGAAAAAACTACATTTAAAGTTGTCTTCTCTTCCTGCTGCCTTGGTTGAAAGAGCAAGATCTCTGATACTAATGGCAAACACCAAGTGCAGCATTTTTAGTGGCTTTTCTGTCTCCTCTTCTGGAAGGACGGTTATTACCATCTTTCTTGTATTTCCCTGGTTCTTCTTCTTGGGAAAAAAAAATGTTTAAGCCACATATGTTTGATGGGGTGACCTCATTGCCTAAATAATAGGAATGCTTTTTCTGAATAAGAAATTGTCAAGCCAATAAGAAGTCTATTCTCACATTGACAGATAGAAAAATTACTTTCAAAAATGAAATCTACAGCGAGATTTTTACTTAAATACAATTCAGTTGATGAACTTTTTCTGTTTTCACAGTTTTCTATCACTTTGCAAAAAAAACTATCTAGTGAGTAAGAATAATTCAAGCCCACAGAAATTCAGAAATAAGCATTAAAAGTCACTGTACCTTTGGAAGCAGTGTAGCACCTGGGTGAGATCGGGGATGTGGTTATCACATTCAGCATCTCATCCCAGCTCCAAAACTGAGTGGCAGTGTGGCTCTGATAAGATTACCCTCGATATGCTTTGATTTTGTCACCAGAGGATAACAGCTCCTCCAAAAAATGAAAATGAAAATAAATATGTGCACAAATTACTTCTAGTTCCTGGTACATATTATTCATAAGTATAATTGTCCTTTTAAAATATATCACTGTTTTCATTAAGAATGAAAAATAGAAATAACCAATTGGTAAATAACTTACGGCTCATCCACTTGATGGAAAACTGTGTACTCCATTGTAGTACATATATAGATACATAGAAAATACAAAAACGTTAATTGAAAAACCAGGATTTCTATCTAAAGTACACCTGCAAGTGCATTTTTCAAGTGTACATAGAAGTTGTATTATAGCAAATAGTAGATTGTAACTATTATTTCCTAGTTACGTGCAATGTCATCAATTTCCTTACAACGTGTTACAAAAACAGCAAATGAAGTACACCAAAAAATACTTTGCCAATTTGATTTAAGTGAGAACTTGAGGAAAATTTTTAATGAAACTATTAAGACAGATAATCCATAATCTGAAATACATAGCTGTCTAGTGGCCCAAGCCCTAGTGGAAGTAACTTTGCACTAAGAACAATGAGACCAGCCCCAGATTTGTCACTGTTTCACCTCAGGGCCTCATATAAGGGTTTACTTGTCTGTGTTTCAGTTTCTTCATATTTAAAATGGAGAAACCCTAATCCTGGCTCTAACCCTTTTCCTATTTCATGAAGCCATTGGAAACTATCGTTAAGTAACATGCAAAGCAGTTGGAGCCTATTTTAGTAAGCTACATAATTTTTTAAGGGATATTACTGCTTTGGACAGTAAAGAGTAGCCTGCAGGCAAATCCTGCAAGGTGCTTCAACAGACGTACACACCTACCTTCCTGTTGGCACAGTCCATGTTTGGCAGGTGTATTCCATTCCTTACAGGAAGGAATAGGTGCTTCATTGTGTTTCAGAAGTCAGTAAGCTTTTACAAAACTAAGTAATTGACATTTTTCTCATTTCTGAGATCAAATTTTCATAGATCATTCAACCTGGATAAACTGAGAATGTGGTTGATCTAGTAATTGTTGAAATATAGTAAAGACATTGCAAAACATGATATTTAAGTATTTCCTCCTAACCTCTTACTTTAGCAAGATATAAGAGCTCTAAATGGAAAGATGTCCTAATGTATGAAAAAGGAAACTAAAAATAAAGTAAAATGAGCCCATCTGTAAAGGAGAAGCCAGAAGAAGCACAAGACGGATTCATCTCAGTAATCTGGGATTCCATTGGTTCTGAATTCGCAGTGATAATAACTATGCAAAGCAGGGCTTACTTTCACATTATGAGGAAGTTTTTTTAATAGTAGTGTAAGTGATACTGAAGTGATATTTCAACTTCAACCAACATGAAAGTAATATTTTCTGATTTTTTACTATATATGCCAAAAAGTGCTATTAATGTCTTCTCAAGATTTCTACTGGGTGCCTTTGTTAATAGTTAATTCAAGTTAATATCCTATTTTAACAATTCATTTAAATTTTCATATCGACATTTTTCTTCCACCTTCCTCCACAATTCAAGTTAGTTAAACTTCCTGTCTTAAAGGATTTATGTAATCCTATTAATCAGAATGTAGAAGGTAGCACTATTTTTTATCACTAGGGAAAGACCAACTAAACAGGCTGATCTGTGAATACACTGAGTTGTCCAGTGAATCTTCTAGTTCAGGTATTTACATCACTAGTCTGAAACTGTTTCAGTAGAGGTATAATATTAGTGCATACTTTACATTTGAGGAATTTGTAATAATAGACTTAAGAAGGTTTGCCTTTTTACTCTAAGATCATTCCTACATTTTCAAAGCAAAGATTATTGATGCGTTTTGTTTCATATTCCTGTTTTCTGTTAACAGAACTCTTGATATATGCAGAAACATTTACTAAACTTGGCTAGTTTTTAGTGTTGCATACAGCTGATTAGTCCATCAATACCAGGGTGTATGAGACTAAGAATATCCTCATTCCTTTAGTGTCTAGCTCCGTGCTGTGTTTATTTGCAAAGGGCCATCATGCACGGATCCATATAAATGAAGCAAGCTAGAGCAGACTAGACTGTGTCGCTCACCAGTCTCTGAGAAGGGAAGACTGTGTACATGAAAACTGGAAGATTTCAGTATGTGTAGCATCGAGTAAGATTTTTGGTTGAGATTTTATGCTTTCAGTAAAGAAAATAAAAGGAAAAAAATAATGTTCTGATTCCATCATCTTATCAAGCAAAACTCTAACTGAACCATATGAATGTGATCTGCTAAGAGTAGCCTAAGAACACTTCAGGATGGGCTTGTGTATAGTTGGTGAGTTTTTATCAACTGAAAAATCACTTATCTTTGACTAAAAAGCACATAGAATCATTGTTAGCCTATTTATATTATCTAGGAATAGAAACTTTTTAAATGTAGTACAGAAAATCTGGTCTTATTAGCATCAAATCATTTGTATATATTTAAGTTATTTTCATGCCACTGAGACACAAAGTTTTTCCCACCTACCCACCTAATTCCTAGCTTTATTTTCATCAGTTGATTCTATGAAAAAGAAAGAAATTTAATACATAAGATTTGTACAGTATATCCATGTGTCACTTATTTAGCTAAGTAATAAGGGTAAGATTGATAATATATCTCTATTGGAATATGGACTTCTTAGTAAAAATCAATTTGAAACTGCTCTGTATTTAATATGCCATCTTGTTATTACATAGTAAATGGTTCATTCACAACCTTATGCAAGTAGGTAAATATACTGAAGTGAGAATCTTGTATTTTTTATGTAGCATCTAAAGCTGACATAATCCAAAGATCTGGGTTAAAGTTTGTGTTTTCATTGTTTTTTTTTAACCTCAAATACTTGGCACTCTGCACGGGTGTCTCTTGCTTACAGTAATGCTTTGTTTCGTAATACAACTACCAGGACTTCTTGGTCACAGGCAAATACTGTCCTTTTTCAGCCAAACATTCCTGACAATAACTGCACTTTTCATATTTATTTTTTCCCTTCCCCGCAACCCCTGACTTAGGTTGGAAAGGCTCGTGGATGTCCTGAGGAAGAAGGTTGAAACAGGGACCATGAGGACAGTGATCTGACAGAAAAAAACGACAGTCTGGGGAAGCAATCACATCTGGTGACCAGGCTGCTTCATTCAACACTGTGTAAACACTAAAGCCTTAACTTAGCAAACAGTTGTTAGAAGTAGGACACTCCAACCACATTCCAAGCTGAGATAAAATCAAATCACAAATGTTTAACCACTTTGCTGCTGACTTGAGTTATTTATCCAAATATATTAACTACAGGCTTTTACCAATGAGTAGCAATAAAGTTGCAGGTTATTTTGTAACTATTTTATATTTCACTGTATTTAATATAAATCCTTTTACTGAGAGACCGTTATAGAAACAGTAAAGTTGGTCTGGATCATATCTTCACATATGGCCCTTTGTGAATCAAAATGCAGCAAAGCAAATATTCTCTAAACCTTAATCCTTCATATTAGTCAAAATTTCAGATACGTGCATTTTTCAATGCAGAGTTTATTTCTTAACGGATGAAAGAAGCTCAGACATAAGCATATATAGTCTTCACTCATTGCATGCATGTAATCTTTGTTAGTATTAAAGGACATTAAGTATAGATACCAAGAATTAACTATGTAATTTGCTTTAATAGGAGTTTGGTACTTTAAAGTTACATTAATCAAGGCATGATTTTTGTTTCACTACAAATAATACAGACGTTTCAATAAAAAGAGGGTACTATTAATGTGTACTTATAAATTCATATTGTCAATGTTTTTTAATGTTGGGTCTTAATAATTAACTAAGGTCTTTTTAAACTGTAGAAACTACCGTATCCTAATAGGCTGGGAAACTTTTGACTTGAAAATTAGCATGTGCCAGCATGACTCTAAAAGGCAAGAGGCCATCGAACATGTTAAGTATGATTTTTTATTATATTTATGTAGTTTATTATTTGAATTTTTGTTGTAGAGAAAAATTCAGTATGTAAAAAATTATAATATACAAATACAAAGACTTGGTGAAAGTAAGCCTGCAGTATGGTTCAAGTTACCTACTTTTTCTTTAGTGTAGAGGTTACTTAAAATAGTATAGCAGTCACTTCTAATCACATGAAACTATGAATAAAACTAATATTTATGTATTTGGACATAGAAAAAGTGTCTTCATTTTTTTTTAGATTGAATAGATGAGAGGCTAGTAGAAAATGACTAGGACAGGAACAGGGTAAAATAGACAAGTAGCAACTGCATTAGTGCAAATTTTGTAGGCAAGTGAAAAATTTTCTAAGTCCATACAGTTTTTTAATTCATCTTTAAAACTGAACTGTATTGTCTACCATTGCCTGTTCTGGGGACCAATACAGAATAATTTAGTGCACCATTCTTTTAAACACCATTAGAGATTATCTGTGTGAATTTTTTTACTCTGCACAAAAATGTAAGGTGTTAATCATAGAGTGACAAAAGAATCATAATGCTGACAAACTTGATTTCTTCCTTATTAAATTCATTAAATGAACTGGGAGTTAGAATCCTATCACACTGAGTTCAAATCTAGAATTTACTCATGTTGCCTGCTTTTAATTATTTTTTTAAACCATGTGATAAGAAAATAAAGAACAACAGGGATTACAAATAAACTAACTGGCTTTACTCCTTAGTCCTAAAGAGAATTATAGCCTTTCATAGGCCAGTAACTATATAAATACAGAAATTTGAAATAGTTTGTTCATGCAGTCTTCTCTCTGAGCTCTAATTGAGTGTATTCCTGTGTGACTTCAAACAACACCTTTCAAGTCCTGCAGGTTAGTAAAGAGAAACAATTCTTATCACATAATAGTGCATTCCTAAATGTTTTTTTAATAAATCTCAGTTAAACTTGTATTTTCAGTTTAGTCCTAAAGAACAGATGAAACTATCTTGAGTTATTTTGCTTGTGGTTTTATAAAACAAAAAGTGTAGCATAAAGACATTTTATAATTTTCAAACATCTGTCTATACCTACATGATCAGATTAAAGCAATCTATTCCTTTAATCAACATCTAGAACTTTATAGAATTTGATATTATAAAGTTAAGTTTACAAAACAATTCTCACATCTACTATTGTTCAATGTAGGTAATCTCCCCAAAATATCCTATCCCCTTAAAAATGAGTTGTCTATAAAATTACAAATGCTAAGTAGTACAGCCAGATGTTATCATTAATTCTTGTACTTAAAAATGTCCACCAAAAGTGTCTCAAATAGGTTTTTCTGTATGAAGGAATAACCTATCCCACTAATGATCTGTTCTCTACATATTCAATAATAATACAACTTCAGAAGTGTCCATGCTGCCCAGAGATGTTGCTTGGAGTTTGCATTAAACATCACCAAGTCTGATTCCTAGAGTAACACAGAATTCATTTCCTCTTGTAAAAATAAGTAGTTCAGAGGAAAAATCAGAAAAGATAATACAAACATATGTAGCACTTGATGATTTACAAAGTCCTTTCACATCTGTATTTTTTATCTAATCCTGTCCACAACCATATAAGAATAACAATAATTATAAATTATATATATCAACCACATAATGATAATAATTTAATTATCATTATTTTAATTACATTTTACAAATGAGGAAATAGACACACAGAGGCTAAGAATTTGCCAAGGACTAGCTGGGACTAGCAACTGAGATCTTATGACTAAACTCCTATAGGTCTCCAAATCTTTCTATAAGAAAAAGTATTAAAAATTAAAGATTTTAACTCTTGCAATTTGTTATTATTGTGCCATTTCTTTTGTACACACATGTATGGATTATCTAATAATCAAAAATACCCAAATTTATTTCAGTGAAGTGCAATCTAAACTACATGTGTAAATAGCATCATATTATTATTTCATCTATATAGTGTTACAGTAGCAGCATGCTTTGCCTTAGCCTTCACTAATTAGAAATATTGTCACAATTCCTTGTTAATAAAATATAACCTTGGTTGTACTGTACTGTTTTAATTAGGCCTGATGCTAAAACTTGATACTATAGTTTTATCAAATGTTAGTCTAAAATTCAAGGCTCACTCTACCTCCTTTAGCAACTGTTGGAGATAAAACCAATTATAAGCAAGGCAATTGGTTATAAGCAAGGTATAAGCAGTTACAGCAAAGTTATTAGTTAATTACTAATATATAAAAATGCTTAACTCTACTTTTACACATAAGCCAGTATGTTAAAATTATTTAAAATATTTTTTTTCGATGAGAAAGTTGATCCTTTGTGTATTTCCTTATTCAAGTAAACTGAAGAATTTTATCAGGTCACTTACCAGTAGAATTAGTTCATTTCACACAAAGTTAAAATATTAAAATGTTTTAGTTTTAATATTAGATATATTTATGTAGAAAAACATTTATATATGTAGTATTTTTAAAGATCATAGTTATTTTTAAAGTTTCTGTTTTCAAATATTCATTATTAATGAGATTATAGTGATAAAATAGCCATGGCTTACACTTTTTTGTCTTCTCTGGTTTGTATGGCGCCCAGATTATTCACAAGACATTACTGCATTAATAACTATTATTTACAACTAACCTATCATACATGCACACATAGATGTATACACACAGACACATACAAACAAATGCATTTGCCTTTTTAAAAAGTTGATTTATAAATCAACTCTTAGGCTCCAGTGAGTTCAGTATTTTATTCATGTTTTATTAGAAATACACATGGTTTCAAGGCTTTTAAACAAATACATGGAATGGTTGAAAGATTTATATTGCTTGTGCTTAGCTAAATATGTCATCTCTAGAAAAGATGTGGTTTATTTTGGCACTGTTTTAAAAAACTCAAATATTTTAAACATTTGTTAAGTTAGAGCTTGCACATTTGAACTAGTAGCATACATTCCAGAAAAGCATCTCAAGTTACCAAACTTTTTGTAATCCTTTTACTAGAATAACTTTTTTGAAAAGGCTTTCTTTTCTTTTTTATTATGTACTTTAAGTTGAGTTAAATTTATGAAGGTTGAAGTTGCTATTTTTTAATGTAGGATTTCATAAATGAAATTTGACAATGAAAAATGTGTTTTTGGAAATCATTAAAATGCTGTATACTAATGACATTTCTTTGCAGAAATCTTAATATACTTCCTTTTGGTTGTATTGTTTTCTAAATATAATTTTGGCACATGCTAGTACTTTGAAAGCCACCAGTTTCTTGACCAGCTAATTATTAACAAAAATGCATTTTAATGCACAAACTCAAATATCTACAAAATATATATTTACTTTTTATTCACTTATAATCCCCTATTGAAAATCCTATACATTTCAATCTAATTCTTATACATTGATCTTAATCAAATTTGTAAGTGTCCAATCCTGATGTACTGGATGTACCTATAAAATATATTGCATTTAGAAAACAGATTAAGTTCACCATCAAACTGTGTCTGACTTCCTTAACAAGCTTAATAAAGATACAAGTCAGTATATCAACAAATTTATTAAGTACCTTTGGAACCTTTCAAAACTATTAAGATATAAAATAAAATTACAGTAATAGAATTTTAAAAGGAAACATTATCCTTGGTAAATATATTTAGAAAGAATCTAAGGCAGGAGACTTAATTCTCATAATTAAAAAATAATGAACTGATTCATATCTACTACAACACTTCTCTACTAATTTAGGAATTTGTATGTGAAATTTTGCTGTAGCCAGTAGCTGGAATCTAAAGACACTGCTTCTCTTATGTTTGGTTATTCAGTCAAGATAAGGTAAATATAAACAGACTATGTAACATTCTATCACCTGTAGTGAACTTAGAACTTAAGGTACCTGGCTATAAAAAAAGACCAGGGTGGATGGGCAGTAGGAATCTTTGGGGCAAAGATTCTATAAACTGGTAATATATAAACTGTTGTATTACTTTGTGCAAAAATTTTGTCTCACCATCTATGGCCTTTGTGATATTGTCATGCATTTTACTTTTATATATGTATACCACAATAGTAACATTGGTATTCTGCTTTAAACAATCAAGTGTTTTTAAGGAGATTTAAAAAATAAGAACAGCAACCTATTTATCCACATATTTACCATTTCCAATGTACACCATTTTCTTTGTGTGGATCCAAGTTTCCACCTGTTACCATTTTCCTTCTTCCTGAAATATTTATCATTTATACTAATGCAGGGTTGTGGGTAATGAATTCTTTCAACTTTTGTACCTCTAAAAATGTCTCTCTTCTTTTTTTTTTTTCTTTGCTTAATTTTGTGAAAAGAGTTTCGTGCTGGATGTAGAATTTTAGGCTTTTTCCTCCCAGTATTTTCAAGGTGTTGCTCTATCATTTCTGGCTTGCTTTGTTCCTGCTGTCATACTTAATTTTTGCTCAGTGTACAAGCTGGAATCTAAAGACACTGCTTCTCTTATGTTTGGTTATTCAGTCAAGATAAGGTAAATATAAACAGACTATGTAACATTCTATCACCTGTAGTGAACTTAGAACTTAAGGTACCTGGCTATAAAAAAAGACCAGGGTGGATGGGCAGTAGGAATCTTTGGGGCAAAGATTCTATAAACTGGTAATATATAAACTGTTGTATTACTTTGTGCAAAAATTTTGTCTCACCATCTATGGCCTTTGTGATATTGTCATGCATTTTACTTTTATATATGTATACCACAATAGTAACATTGGTATTCTGCTTTAAACAATCAAGTGTTTTTAAGGAGATTTAAAAAATAAGAACAGCAACCTATTTATCCACATATTTACCATTTCCAATGTACACCATTTTCTTTGTGTGGATCCAAGTTTCCACCTGTTACCATTTTCCTTCTTCCTGAAATATTTATCATTTATACTAATGCAGGGTTGTGGGTAATGAATTCTTTCAACTTTTGTACCTCTAAAAATGTCTCTCTTCTTTTTTTTTTTTCTTTGCTTAATTTTGTGAAAAGAGTTTCGTGCTGGATGTAGAATTTTAGGCTTTTTCCTCCCAGTATTTTCAAGGTGTTGCTCTATCATTTCTGGCTTGCTTTGTTCCTGCTGTCATACTTAATTTTTGCTCAGTGTACATAATATGTCCTCTGTCTGCTATAAAGATTTTTCCCTTTGTCACTTGTTTTAACCAATTTGATTATGTTGTGTTATGGCATAGATTTTTGCATGCTTCTGTACATGTAATTTGTTGAACTTCTTGGACCTTGGGTTTATAGTCTATCACATTTTTAATATTTGACCATTATTTGTTCCAATATTTTTTGTTCCCCAACTCTCCTTCCTCTCCCTTTTATAACTACTATTTGATATAAATTAGGCCACTTGAAGTTACCATTTCACTCATTCATGCTTTGTTCTTTTTTTTTTCAGTCTCTTTTTTCTTCTGTGTGTTTCATTTTGGATAGTTTCTATTGCTTTGTCTTCAGATTTACTAATCTTTTCTTCTGCAGTATTTGATGTGCTCTTAATTCCATCCAGTGCCTTTTTTTTTTGCAGATGTTTCCTCTCTAAAAGTTAAAGTTGGTCTTTTTAATTTATTTCATATCTCTCCTTAATTATTTCATGCTTTATATTATCTTCTATAATATAAAAAAAAAGTCATAAGGAATGTTCTAATATCCTTGTCTGTTAGTTCTGTTATCTATCCTATTTCCAAATCTGCTTCTATTAATATTTTTTTTCCTTACCATGAGTTGTTACTTTCCTGCTTTGTATGCCTGATAAGAATTTTTGAATGCCTATAATTGTGAATTTTATCTTGTTGGGAGTTGGATAGTTTTTCATTAAAAATTTTTGAGTTTTGTTCAGGTATGCAATTATATTACTTGGAAATAGTTTAATCCCACTAAGGCTATTTTAAGTTTATAGTAGGCAGGATCAGGGCACCGATAATCTAGGACTGAGTTTTCCACACAATTTAGGCAATCCCTTTCTGAATACACTACCTGATGCCCTGTGTAGCAAGAGGTTTCTCTACTCTGACTGGCTACAACCATGTGTGAGTTTTGGTTATCGTTCTGCCTACTCCTTTCTGGAGGTTCTTACCTGGCCTTGGTGGTTTAGTGACACACACATGCTGGTCAATACTCGAAGGAAGACTCAAGGAATGTTCTGTAGCTCTCCAGAGCTCACTCATGCCCTCTCTCTGTGCAGTACTCTGCACTCCATGCAGGCTTTCTCCTCCTCAGTACTCTGACCTGAATTTTCTAACCACCTTGGCCTTCCCAAATCTTCAACTCTGTTCTCAACTCGGAGAAGCTGACAGGCTTTTCTGTCCCCCTCCTTGCGCTCTGCTCTGTAAGCCCTTCAGGTGATGTGCTGGGGCTAGCGTTGGACTCATTTCACTTGTTTCCCTTTTCTCAGGGATCACTGTCCTCTGCTGCCTGTTGTCCAAAGTTCAAAAGCGTTGATCCATGTATTTTCACTGTTGTTTTTGTTGCTGTTTTGGTGGTTTTTCATTTTTCATCTTTTTAAGGTGGGAGAGTAAATGTGGGCCCAGGTCATCCATCATAGCCAGCAGTATAAGTCCTCCTATAGGTCTTTCAAAATGTCATTGTCTTGATGTCTATCCCTTCCCCTGTTAATGTTCTTCTGGAAGTAAAGTCTGTTTTCTCTTATTGCTTTTTAGATTTCTTTATTTTTTGTGCCTAGATGTGTTATATTTCTTTGTTGAGCTGTATATTTCTTTGTATATTTCTTTGTGTATTTCTTGGTTGAGTTCATAGGCCTTATGAGATCTCTAACATGATATCTTTTGTCAGTTTTAGAAAATCTTTGGTCAGTATCTTTTTCTCCTCCTTCCAGGACCCCAATTATATATATTTTACATATTCTTTTTGTGTTCCAACATATCTTTTCTACCCTCTTTTGCATTTTCCTTTTTTTATTACTTTAGTTTTGAATTTTCAATATTACCTGTCATTTCACATTTCACCTGTCATCTTCTGTTAAAGCCATCTAGTCAATTCTTAATTTCAGGTTCTGTATTCTTCAACTCTATAGTTTTCTCTTAATTTTTTTGGTGCATTCCAATTCTCTAGTGAACTACTCTTCTTTCTAAATACATTGTCTACCACTTTGCCTCTGTTTTACCAAACATACTAGTCATAGTTACTTAAATGTCTCTGATGTGCCTCTTTTCCTACAGCATAGCTCTCTAGGGCTTTCAGTGGTAAAGGTGATGTCTTCACTGGGGCCCTTTTAGGTATTCTCGTCTTAGCTTTTTTATCCTCCCACATAGGACAGCTCAAAATTTGTCAGGTATTTTGAAGGGAAAATGAGGCGTGTGTTTCAGGCCCTTTGGTGCTCCAGCCCTGCAAGACTGCCAAAAGGCTGCTGGTTTCTCTGTCCCTAACAGCAATCTGCTAGGACAAAGTCCAGATTACCTTTCTCTCACCTTCACCCAGAACCAGCAAATGCCTCCAGGGAAAGAGCTGCTGCAGACCATCAGTTTACCGTTGTTTTCTCTTCACCGTATTAGTACTTCTAGTTGTCTTTGTTTCTGCTCCTCTCTAATACTTTTAAACAAACACATTTTGTATTTTATCCAGCTTTTCTAGTTGTTCTTGGAAGCAGCATTGGTCTGCCACAAACTACTCTGTTCTGTCCGGAAGCAGAGTTCTAGTGAGTTTTTCTCTGTTACTACATTTTTCATTTCTGGAGGTTATATTCTGTTCATTCCCAATCTATTTGGTCATTTTTATGGTTTCTTGTTCCTGTCTCATATTTTCAATCCCTTTTTTATTTTCTTATACATTTTAAACATGCTTACTCTATACTTAATTTCTGATAATTTTAATATCTCAAATATTTACTACTCCAACAATTTTGCTATTATTCCTGCTACTTACACTTATTTTGCCTTATTTCTTTGGGTGTTTGGTTTTCATAAATGTGAACTTATATTTCTTAGAGTTACCCTCTGTGGGACTTTTCAAGGCCTGGATTGAAGATGGGTTCCTTATCAGAGGCTTTGCCTTTGCTTCTGCCAGTCACCAAGGAATATTACATACACCTTACAGCACTTTAAAATCTTAATTTGAGTTTTTTTGAGCCACTTAAATAATGAAAATTAGTGTTGAAAACCCACATAAGGGCTGGCTTATGGCTATAAACTTCATAGTATAACCTGTGTTCATGGATTAGAAGAATTAATATTATTCATACCACCAGAAGCAGTCTATAGATTCAATGCATTTCCACCAAGATTCCAATGGCTTTTTTGCAGTAGAAAAAAATCCCTAATTTTCATGGAACCACAAAAGACCCCAAAGAGTCAAAGCAATCCTAAGAAAGAACAAAATGGGAGGCATCCCATTTCCTAATTTTAAGTCACTCTATGAAGCTGTAGTTATCAAAATAGAATGGTACTGGCACAAAAAGAGGCAAACAGATCAATGGAACAGAATCAAAGCCCAGAAATAAACCCAAATTTATAAAGTCAACTAATATTTGACAAAGGAGCCAAGGAGAAAAGAGTCTCAATAAATGGTGCTAGGAAAATTGGATATTCACATAAAGAATGAACTTAGACCCCTATCTTACACCACTCACAAAAATTTGCTCAAAATACACCAAAGAAGCTATTAGAATTAATAACTGGATTCAGCAAAGTTGGAGGATACTAAATCAATATACAGAAATCTGTTGCTTTCCTAAGAAAATAATGAAACAGAAAGAAATCAAGAAAACAATTCCATTTACAATTGGATCAAAAATGATAAAATGCCTAGGAATAAACCTAACCAAGGAGGAAAATGACGTGTACTCTGAAAACTGTAAGACACTGATGCAAGAAACTGAGGAAGACACAAATATATGGAAATCTGTTCCATGTTTATGGATAGGAAGAATTAAAATTGTTAAAATTATCATCCTGCCCAAAGCAACCTACAGATTCAATGCAATCCCTATGAAAATACCAAGAGCATTTTTTAATGAACTAGAGCAAATAATCCTAAAATTCATATGGAACCCCAAAAGACCCTGAATAGCCAAAGCAATCCTGAGAAGGAAGAACAAAGCTGGGGTTATTATGCTCCCTGACTTCAAGCTCTACTACAAAGCTGCATTAACCAAACTAGTATTGTTCTAGCACAAGGACAGACCCATAGATCAATGTTACAGAATAGAAAACCCAGATACAAACCCACACCTATGTGGTCAATTAATATAAAATAAAGGAGCCATGAATATACAATGGGGAAAAGACAGCCTTTTCAACAACTGGCTTTGGGAAAACTGGACAGCTACATGTAAGAGAATGAAACTGGATTACTGTCTAACTCCATACACAAAAGTAAACCAAAATGGATTAAAAACCTAAATGGTAAAACATGAAATCATAAAACTCTTGGAAGAAAACAGGCAAAAATCTCTTCAACATA